TATGTTTGTTTGCTAAAGTAAAATGTTTTCCAGATAATGTAATCTATTTCTTCACAGCATTTATCGTATTCAGCTTGAATAAATTGTTGATTTAGCAAGACTTGTTCTTATGAATTCATCGAGAAAATGGTTCTTGAATAAATTTTTTGCCGATGTTAACTTCCACTTCATCAGAAAATTCAAGTACTAACTCTGTATCAATATGTAAAAGTTACTTTCGCAAGAAAACATTTTGCAGAGAATCTTTGAATTTTTTTTTTGATAAAATGATTATTAATTATTTCAACTCATCTATTGCCATCTAATATTTCTATATTTCTTTTTGTAAATTATGCAATAAACAAATCAAGAAAACTATCAAATTAAAATCAATTAAATATCTTAAATGTATAATAAATATTGGAAGAAATACGATTGGTTTATTTGATTATATAAAACCAATAAATCATCATAGAAACAGATTTTTTTCACAAGTAAATAAATGATAGGATTTAAAGTTTGCTATTAATCAAACGAAAATGAGAAAATATATTTTATTGAATGATGCATGCCTTTCAACAACAGTTGTCTTATATTGATTATTGAGATAAAGAATCAACAGGGAATAACATTTGATAATGTCATATACTCTAAGGTTATTCTCTGTTGTCTTTGCTTGATATTATCAACAAAAAACAACTAAAACATATCTCTGTCATCTTATGCATGAAACCTACATATGTATGTGTCTCTTTGTCTTTCCTGTCTGCTTCTTGACAATTTTCTGTAGTTCTCTATGAATAACAACAACATTCCTGAGAAAAGGAATAACCATGTTGATCGTTGTTTTCAACATATTTCTATAGTATGATGGATATACTATTTTCTGGTAAGTGTTTTGAAAGATTTCTTCATCTTACTTTTGTTTTATATATTAAATCTTTCCTGTGTGAATTAAAGATATACTTCCTAATGATTTGATGATTATTTCCACAACTGTTAATGCTACGAGACAAAATAGAACCCATTGTTTTTGCTTTCCTTCTCATAGATAACAAGGTTTTCTTCGCCATTTTCAGATGTAAATATCTTTGTATAGGAAATGAATCAAGACGATATATTTCAAACAGCAAAATTTGTTATCCAAGGTCTTGATGCACTTAAAAATGAATATGAAAAAATTCTTGAAAATATTATTCATTCGACGAAAATATTATCATCAAATAAAATCGACGAAAAAATTGGTTTACTTCGAAAATCAATGGATATGATTGATTTAGGTTTGTAAAAAGAAAAGAAATTTTTTCAAATTAACAATTTTCATAGTTTAAATAGGAATTAATGAAGTTCAAGTCATGATGCAAATAGATAATCATTTACAAAATCTTGAAGGTGAAAAACATAAATTACGTACACAAGTTAAACGTTTATGTCAAGAAAATGCTTGGTTACGTGATGAATTAGGATCAACACAAAGAAAATTACATGAATCTGAACAAACCAATGCTACATACACAGTTGAACTTGAAAATTTAAAATTCTTAAAAGATATTAAATTATTTGATGATGATAATGAAAATTCTACTGATCAAACAATATCAGAAATAAATTTAGATTTTAATGATGATCAAATTCATGAGCAAGATTTGATTAATGATTTATTTCCATTAGACGATAGTGAACAAGATATTTCTTCAGATAATCAACAAACTTATTTGAATAAAATTGATTCTGATACTGATCTATTAATGTTATCATCACAACTTGTGAATGGTTCATTTATTTCAGCAAATGGTTGTGAAATACCAAATAGATTAAAAACTTTACATAGTTTAGTTACTGAATATACATCTCAGGGACGACATGAAATAGCTGTACATTTATGTCAACAAGCACTTGAAGATCTGGAGACAACATTAGGACATCAACGTAAGAAAATTTCTAAACATGTTTATTATAAAAGATATTTACTATAAATATTAACACACCGCGACACACAGATGGAACCGGTCTGAAATCCCTATCAACACATATCCTTTATAAGAAAATAAGCACAGAAAAATTAATAAGACACAGTGATAATGACAGATTTGAAATCTGTATTAGTTCAATCTCTGTCAAGATGTATCATTTGCAATGTTAGAAATATCATGCTCGGACATGCAGAAGAACCCTAGAGATTCTGACAGAAGAAATTTAATAAAAGTTCTATTTAGCTTTGATAGAATTTCTTAATGAGGCCGCAATTGATTGTCGTGATAGAGTCGATTTTTCAAAAATCGTTGAATTTTCTTTGAGTTGGTAAATACTGAAAAACAAACAGTTGGATTGTAAGACAATCTTTAATCAATACTTTGTGGTTTCTTTTTTGTGGTAAGAAAAATCTTTATTTATTTTTGTTTTATTGCAAACCAGAACAATGAGATGTACTATATAAAAAAAGGCTCTGTCAATTATGTAATATAGATATTTTGAATAGATGAATTATTACGATCCTATACGTGGAAAATAAACTGATAAAAAGAAAATATTTTTTTCATCACAACATTTTTTGCTATGTTCTATTTTGAAATATGTCTTTCTTGAGGCTATGAAGTTTTTTGAAAGAATTTTAAATTTTGTAGGCATTAAACTTCTTCTCATTTAGATCCTGATGTTGCAACCATGCTCAATATTCTTGCACTTGTTTATCGTGATCAATCAAAATTTAAAGAAGCAATTTCATTACTCTATGATGCACTTGCGATTCGAGAAAAAACACTTGGATATGATCATCCAGCTGTAGCAGCCACATTAAATAATCTTGGTGTTCTTTATAGTATACTATCTCTTGTTATTTCGATAAAAGAAATATTTTCTTGTACTATTGTCTAGGTAAACGTAACAAATTCAAAGAAGCTGAACCATTATGTAAACGTGCACTTGAAATTCGTGAAAAATCTTTAGGTCCATCACATCCTGATGTTGCTAAACAACTTAATAATCTTGCCTTTATCTGTCAAAATCAAGAAAAATATGATGAAGTTGAATCATATTATAAACATGCAATTGATATCTATACAAATAATTTTGGAGTCAATGATCCAAATGTAGCTAAAACAAAACATAATCTTGCATCAGCTTATTTAAAACAACAAAAATACATTGAAGCTGAACAATTATATAAAGATGTTCTTAGATGTGCATATGAAAGAAATTTTCAATCATCAACAAAAATTAGAAATAATAATATAGAAAACAATTTGTATAAAACCATTCAAATTGATACACCGACACTTACAGCAACATTAAAAAATCTTAGTTTGCTTTATCGACGACAAGGTCGATTTGATGCAGCTGAGATAATGGAAAATTGTGCATCACGTACTCAAAAAGATTCACAAGCTATTGTTCAAGTACTAAATTTGGTTCAACAAGTAAATGATCTTTCATAAGAATACGATGTTTTTTGTAGCACTTTTGTTTGCTTATCTATCCGAACCGTCGAATATTTATTATGTGCACGATAAAATATTCGTTTATTACTATTGCTATGCACATTTGTAGTTGGTTATTGATTTTATTCAAATTTTCAATGAGTTATTATTTGAAAAAGCTGTAAGCTATTACACATATCAAAAACATGAATAAAAAGTTTTATTTTAATGACTAATAAATAAGAACATATATGTATGAAATAACATACGATGCAAAAGCAATGGCACAACATGTCAGTCTCTTTATATTTTTCTATGAACACGCTCCTGAAACGAAAATTTTTTCAGTCATTGGTAGGAAATTTTCTCCTCTTTCGAAGAGTTTTTTTTTGTTGCACGTTCATAAACGAAATAATACGAGAACAAAGGGAAGAAATTGCTCAACGAATTTGTAATTTTTATATTGATGCATCAGATAAATCTTTTAAACGGCAGTTAATTATTCTATAAAACAAAGTGTTCAGAAAAGAACGATTTATAACATATTAAATGCGTATTTAAAATATGGACGAACAAAATTTTAACCAACGACTCGCTTTTCATTAAAAATTTCCAATAAACAATTAAAACACGTAGTGAACTCTGTTAACAATCGTTGTGGTATCAATCAACGTAAACTAGCTAAACGAGTTAATGTTAATCAATCAACTGTTAGTCATAATTTACATCGAAGCACATTAGTCGTTATCAGGATCCAGGTCGATGACTTCGATGCCTGAATATGTGAATTTCCTGTGAGAATCCAATGGTAGTATCAGTTTGTCAGCTCTGTTTGGTCCTGACCAGAAATGAAAAGATTCAGTCACCAGATCTATTCATCTGACGACACGTAGAAAAGTTACAAAAATGAATAATGAAGCTCAAGAAAAAGATCTAGAAAAAAATTGTGGTAAGTTATACAAAATGATTTCTTGTAATTCTGATATCATCATAGATGAGGAAAAGTAATATTACATTAACTAATGCTAATATTGGAGGATATGAATACTATCATTTAATGGATCCAAATATAGCACCTGCTGACGGTAAATTAAAAAGGAAAAAAAAACTTCTTGTGTTAAATTGGATTTAGTAGTGACATCTTTAATTGACTGTGACATGATTTCGAAATAGACTCCAGTGCAAGTCTTGGAATACTCGTTAAATAATATATTAAAGTTAAAGTAACGTGAAATCCTTATCATTCTTCGATAACAACAAAAACAAATAATTCATTGATAACAATAAAAACCACGTGAAGCACTCTGTTTAAAGTTATGCTATGAAAAAAGAAAAGTTTCCTGCATTTTCGATCAGCTTACTGAATGTAAGAACGAAGAAGGTATATAATGATATGCAAACCGAGTCTATTTATGATACTCACTCATGGTTTTTTTTCTTGCACTTTTTTGACTAGCAACAGAATACGAAAGAAAAAACGTAACATCTGACGTTTTATTGTGTCTAATCATGCATTCATTCATATTGACGGATTGAGAAAAAAAAACAAGGAGACACTTATATTTATCCTCTATATATCTTAGAGAAAAATATCTTAAGACAATAATGGCTAGTGAAACTCCAAAACCAATGAAAAAAGCCCATCGTAATATATTTGATAAATTAGCCGGAAAATTAGAAAAAAGTCTTGTTGTTAATCCAAGTTCAAATTCATCTTATGGTTCGCAATTATCATTAAATAGTTTATCCTCAAGTCGTCATGCGAGAAAAGCATCATATAACAATGACCAAGATGATATGTCAATAAAATCTGTTTCTTTTCCTGATACGAAACCTCCACCAGCAATGTCTCATCATCAACATAGTACTATTTTTTATTTTAAAATTAATTAAAGGTTCAATTCAAATTTTTTAGGTAATCAAATGAGTCGCTCACGTTCTGCCGCTGTATTAACTGATCAAAATTCTCATGCTCAATGGCAAACAAATACAGGACATCATGGTAATATATTTCTACTAGCTATTCACTATTAGCAATTGAATTTATTTTAGTTAATCCAATTATCAAAGATCGAACTACAAGATATGATCAAGAAATGCAAATACTTTGCAGAGAATTAATGGAAAATAGAGTAGATTATAAAGAAAACTTCATTCAATATTTTGCACAAAAGATTCTTTTTTTAATTTTAGAGCGTTAATTTATATGATTGTCGAGATTATGATAAAAAAGTATCGTTATTACGTATTGCTGTTTCATTTAATACACCAAAAGTTACTGTACCGGTAATTAAATGTCGATTTAATAAATTCTATAGTATTATATTCATAACTTAAGAAGTTTAAATCCAAGATTCTTCTTTATTTCATTTTTTTAATTCAATTTTTTAATATCAATGTTGCATTTAAGATACTAGAATCGAGTTTTTAACTGTCGAAGACTTGAGAGTCTCATCTAAAGAACTTGTTTGCATTGACTCTTTATGAGAACATATCACACGTGTTGCTATATAATTGAATAATAAAGAATATTCGGTGACTTCAATTCATTTAACTTTCACCAATAAACAACAATCTGTTTAGGTCTATTCGCTAGAGTTTTAGATTAACAAAACAATCGGTAATTGTACGGATTTCAAATTAACTGATCATTACTGATGTGTCTTAATCTTTTGTTTTTGCTCTTAGTATCTTATGAAGGATATGCATTGAAACTTTGCAATTTCAGACAGGTTACATCTCTGTGTTGAATTTCTCTAAAAAAAACAACAACTTTTGAAAACTTTGCATATTAGTATCTCATAATATTACTTATATATTATTTCTGCTTTATATTTTTGTAATTAAACTTGTGATATTCGACATTCATTGAAAAAATATCATAAAAGTGCAATATTTCCGCAAGAATAAGCTAAAACCACGAACTCTTTTTAGAGTATTTATTGCACATTAGGGTCTAAATCATGTGCATAGAAACGAGTTATTAGTTAGTGGAATTTCCTCATCACTTTTTGAAATAGACGAAAATCAGAGCTTTATATCATCATCAGATGTCGTTGAAAGTTATCTTTCTATTTTATAGGTAATAATATTTCTTGAAAATACATTATCAAAACCTTTATTTTACGAACTAATCAAACAACATTCATCAGCAGTTAAAAATTTTCTTAATATGGCTAAATTACGAGTTGAAAATCATTATTATACATCAATGCTTAAGTAACTTTATTTAATATGTCGTTTCTTTAATTAATCAGTTTGTTGTTGTTTTTTTTTTTCAAAGACAATTTGGTAAAAATGAAGAAGTCGCTGTAAGTAAAACAAAAAAACAAATGCATGAATTAAAAGTAAATCATTTAATTGTTTAAGATGATACGTATGCGACAAGCAAGTGAAGCTAATGATATAAATAGTAAAATTGCTTTATTAGATCAAGCAGCAATGTATATTCGTTACTTATAAGTATATGTGTTTGTCATAGTTAATTTTTATTGAATTTAGTGAAATGAATTCACATCCTTGGTGGAATTTACAAATTGTTGAACATCAATATTTGCTTAAAAAACAACAAGAGTTACAAAGAGTAAATTAAAAAATTATTTGTAAGTGATTGAAATGATGTTTTGTTTTTTGAATTAGTCTATTTCATCTTCACAATCAAATATTAATCTTGAAAATCAAACTGTACTTGACACATATAAATCATTATTTGATATAGACTTCCGACGACAAAAATTTAATCGAGATATAGATAAAAATGTAATTCTAACATAATTTGAGATACTATTATTTTATGTTCTATTTTTTAGACTGTCGAACATAGTAAAGAATTCGAAAAAGCTTTTCATGTAAAATTATTTATTTCATTAACATTGAAAATTTTTTTGTTAATTTTATTTAAAAGATGTGTCCAGAAATGATCTTATGTGGTAAACTATCTGTAATAATGCACTGTGGTTTACGAATGCATTATGAAGATTTTATTCATTATGCAATGCATCAGGTGTTTGTTTTAATATTCTAAAAAACGAAAAAAAAAAACATTTTTTTTTCCTTTTAAAGAGCATTTTTAGTAAGAAATTTGTCATACCACCAGAAAATTTTGCTGATATGGTTTATAATTGGGTAAGATTAAGTGGTGAAGGACAAGAAAAAGCAAGTGAAAAAGCAGAAAAGTTTCTTAATATGATACAAAATCCAGAACGACGAATCTATTATGCAGAAAAATTTCAAAATTATGATGTTGCTATGGATGTAAGTGTATGATTTCAGACGATTAAAAATTGTTTTTTCCTCCATATTTGTCTTTCAAAGACTATTGCTTTTGTTCTTCATGATCGAATACGATTTGAAAATTTACGTAAACGTATACCACGTGATCATCCATCATTTAACCGAGCTACGTCATTATTAGAAGTAGATAATAAAACAACAAAAAACTAGATTTTATCAATAAATTAATTCACTTTCTTTTTCTTTTTCTAGAATGCAAAATGGCGAAATTAAAAACAAAGTGTGTATGTTGTTGTCCGATGATTATATTTGACTTTCTATTTAAAGGAATACCCATTCTTTATATATAAATATTATAATAATATAATGGGAAAAAAATAAGATTGTTTATGAAATAGAAGAATGTATAATAAATTTGTCGGAAAATCTTGGTGCTAATGGATCTCTTGTATCAATTCGTTGAAGATCTTCAGTAATATCAAGTGTCTGTGTTTGTGTAGATGATTTGCCTGTTATAACGAATACTATATAGATAATAGCAGCAAGAGAAGATATAAGTAAGAAACCAAAAAGAAAAAATAATACTGGATTATTCATTAAAAGAAAAGAAATTTTTTTAAAATATATTTTGGTTTATTAAAAAAAAAAAAGTTTTATGAAGAAAAATATAGACGCGCAAAAGAATAAAGTTCATTTTATAACTAAATAAATGAAAAATTGTTTCCAATAAAAGTTTATGTTGGCGGCTTGCTCGATGCCGAACCAGTACGTGCTGGAGCAGAAGCTTGTGCAGCGGGAGCCGAAACTGGATTGGTATTGTCAGATGGTGGTGTACCTTCTGGTAAAATATTAAGTGGAACTAAAGCAGCAAGAGTAGCAGTAACACTAGATTCTTCGCTAGTTTCGTTTTTAGCTGCTAATGGCGGTCGTCCTATAATTGGTTTTGTTATATTAGGATCATTTGGATCAATTGGAGCCGATGTATCCGGTTGTCCGACAGTGCTAATGTTTTCAGCTGCTCCTTCTTGTTTTCGATTAGCCGATGGTGGTCTTGAGCCTGGTGGAGCAGTAGCAGCATTAGTCGCCGATGGTGGTCTTGAGCTTGGTGTAGCAGTAGCAGCAGTGTTTGTGGTTGTATCTTCTGGTTTTTTAACCGCTGATGGTTGTCTTGAGCCTGGTTGAACACTAGTAGTAGTGTTTGCAACTGTATCTTCTGGTTTTTTAGCCGCTGATGGTGGTCTTGAGCCTGGCGGAGCAATTGTAGTATTGTTTGTTGTTGTTCCATCCTGTTTTTGGCTAGCTGATGGTGGCCTTGCAGTTGTTGCATCAAGAGCTGGTGTAACAGTAGAATCAACTTTTACAGCGGATGCTGGTCGATTAGTAGTATCTTGTGATGAAGTTTTTGCTGCTGATCCAGGTCGAGTTTCATTAGTTGTTGCTGTTGCTGGTTGTTTAATTGCCGATGGTGGACGAGATGATGATTGTACGGTTGTAGTAGCATTGTTACCTTCTTTAGATGATTCCTCTTTTGGTTTGTTACTCGCTGATTGAACGCGGGGTGTTGGTGCTGCTGCAGCCGAAGAAGCTGGTGTTGACGACATATTGTGTTGTGAAGACAATACAAGAGAGAAAGAAAAAGAGAAAAAAAAGGACACAGTGCAAGCTCGTTTCTTGCCATTGGAATATTGTTTATTTGCTTAAAAGATGTTGAATTGCTTCGGTTTACATAAGAAACGAATGAGCAACTCATTTTCTTCTTGACAACGGTACATACCAAATGCATACAAAGAACACTCAAGAAAAAAATTCGGTTCTTTTCCATCTACTTCTTTGCGTTGCTTTTGTTTGAATAGAAATACTATTGTCTATAATCAATGTAGAAAATTGAATCTTGAAAGTTTTAGATTTCTAATTTATTATAAATCCCATTCTTTTGTTCGTACAGGATAAAATATTCTAGCAATCTGACATATCTTGTTCATATAAAAACATGCATTAATTTACTTAGCAATAATTCTTTTCATTCTTTTTTTGTTTCTGTTGAATGTATGTTATGTCTACCTTTTTGGTTTTTGTCAAAGAAAAATACAGAATGTTAAAATGTTATTCAAAATATGATAGACAACAAGAAACAAAAATGAGAATCATAATATTTCGTTTTAGTTCTCTTTTCTAAAAATATGTGGTAACTCAAATTATCCCATTACTAGATTGAAAATGCCTGACGACACAAAACAAAAACATATTACTGTTTTTTACACATATTATTCATAAGACAAATAAAACAACCGACTTGAATTTGAAGTTTACATGGTCTCCTTATTTTCAAAAACAGACTCATGAAAGTTTGTTTAATCTTCTTGACGAAAACCCACGTAGAATTTTTCTGAACAATAAACAGAACATTTGCTCCGGATTGCATGTTTGTGAATACTATTTTTTTCCTTACTTAGACATAATAATCTGAGATGTAAAACGACGGTAAATAAAAAAACAAAAACAAGAATCTATTTCAAATCAATTATTTCAAAAATAACCTTGATAATGAGTATTACAAGCGTTCTCGTCTACATGTACTCAAGTTATAATAAATACAATTGTTAACTGTAATTAAATCATTGATTTATTTAAAATTATTTAGAAGTTATCAATATTGATATGCAATGAATAAGTTCATCTTCGATTCAAAAATTATTATTATTTTTACGCAATATGAATTTTAAATCTACAAATTTAAAATTTTCGAATTTTTTTTTTTTATTATGTACGGTCATTATCACTGAAAATAATCATACATTTTATAAAACTGTAGCATATATAGAAAAGTATAGGAAAAGAAAATGAAATAATAATAATAATAGATGATCATGAAACAAAAAAAAACTACATTCTATAGTATAACAAAAAAAAAATAATCATATAATCATAAAATTGTTTAGCCACTTCAACAATTACTGACGACTATACCCGTCCGAATAATTTTTATGGAAATGATGAAGACTATAATGCCTCAACTCTGTTGTCCTGGTATGCTATATGTGATACTCCAGCATTCTGCACTTAATGGAGTCTCTCTCTAGCGGTTCTGATGTTTCATATTAGCTATTTAGAAGAAGGACACTGTCATATGAACTTATACTAGCACAGTTAATTTCCCGGCATTTTTCATGTTCGATCTTTCTAACTGAAACCACGCAGCTTCTAATAGGACAATGTTTTGTTTGTAGGTCATACAAAAAGTAAAATTAATCGAATGAAACGTCAATAGAGACACGAATTTACAATTTGTCACGTTGCAGTTTGTGTTGATCCATACTTTCGTATATATCATAACTCATTGAACTTTTGAACGAAATTTTGAACTTCTCTATGTAACGCATATACGTCTTCCATATATTTTCCTTTCTCATTCATTATTTAATTATTAACATATATTCAAGAATCTATATAAATTTATCTTAATTCTTGACACTCATGTTGAATCATTTTTGTCTTATTCATAAAAAAGCTATCTATTTCGAGTAATTAAGCACTAGATTGAGACGTTTCTTGAATATTGATTAAAACTTTCAATAAGCTACAAATTTGTTTATGAGTAGGAAATCGGTGTTTTTCTCAAAACTGATCATCTGATACTAGTCAGATTGATATATACTACAACAAGCATAATCTATCTGTAGAATAGCTTCTTAAAAACTCTTGATTACAGATATGAACATAGCATTTTTTATGACAACCTGAGGCATTTTTTGAACTATTTGTAGTGAGTAATATGAGCAATATATTTTTCTAGAATTATTTTAATTTCGATATAAATTCATGTATAACACGATCTTCATGTTAAAAACTTTTGTTAGATCTAATAGTCAATCAAAAAAAAAGCATTTAACGGCTATTCTTTAACTAAATTCTTATTGATAAAAGATAGAAACCTGCAGTTTTTATTATGGTCTTCCAGCTGAACGAGACCTTAACGATAGTCATGAGTAATTTCGAATCAGAACTAATGATTCTATATTATAGAAAGAAAATCAAGACATGATCTAGAACATGAAAGAGCCGATTTCAATCCGAAAATAGCCGCCTTTGCTAATGTCTAATCATACATCATACTCCGAAGTAATTCACTTTTCGAAAAATAACTCATGATAAGTAGATTTCCAGCTTTATCTACATAAAATAATAAGATAACTATGAAAAAGCAACTCAAATTAACGATAAATTCAATTTTCATGTCATTCCCAACGAATGAATCATTTATGGTTCATTGTGTATCGTCACAATAAAAATGACTTCGTCAAAATCTAACCATATCACTCTTCTAATTTCCAACTGCATGACCTATTACTCTACTTGAATTAGTATCCGAAGGCAAAATAGTTAAAAATAACTAAACAAGAAACAACTTGTACAGACATTTCTTATTTCTAGTTTTTTATTCTATTCAACTTATCTCAAGATCAAAAATGATTTACTTAATTGAAAAAGAAAATATCAACATTCTAGAAACTAGCTTCAACTTTCCTAATCAGTGTCATTTAAACAGATGGGCTAAATAGTTCGCACATATATTAAAAGAGATAGAATTCTAATAAATATATGAAAAGACAATATCAGATATATATGTATATACCGGTTTCCAGATGTCAAATACAAAATGTTAACGATGATTTCATTTAAGCAAGAACAGACCATGAATGTCATCAAAAGTTTGCATTACTAACAAATGACAATCTAGTAAATAATACATCCTAAATAAAAACTTTTTCGCTTAACTTGTTGATTTCGATTATTTATTCAACAAAATACACACTATCTAAACCTATGATCTTCTTTTTCAATAAACAAATCTAGAAAAAATTTCTTCAATGCTAATCACTCAATCGATAAAAAAAAGCGAATATTATTATTTCAGTTCCGATATCATGTACATAAGATGTTGGTTTCAATGTTCGAAAAGGAAATGTTTCTTTTAGTTGCAAATATTCTTCAATTGTCCCTACATAACCATTTGCTGATAGATCTCTTAAACACATAGCAGCTTCGCACAGTACAGCGCAATCGTTCTTCAATTGACCAATTTTTATAAACCCCATAAATAATACTAGCACCAAATGCATTCCCAGCGCTTACTGTACTTTTAATATATTCCTGTAAAAGATAAAGTGATCTTTGAAAAAACCATTCGATACTTGAATTATTTTCTCGACTAACACAAACAGCACTATGATCAAAATGAACTGTTACTATACGTTGTACACCATAATTTTCAATTAATGTTTTTTGCTGCTTGTTCAATTTATGAAATAGTACCTTGTTGAAATGTTTGCTTAAGTAGAAGACCTATCTCAATTTCATTTAAAATTAAACAATCAACATATGGTAATGTTAATTGAACTATTTGAGAATATAATAGATTATTTACACTAACAAAATCAAAAATTGTTTCTAAATCAAATTGTTTAACTTTTTTAGTACTTGTGCTTCGATAATTTCATTATTAACAATTTGATCTAATTCATCGAGTAATGTTAAATAATCGAGATAAAATAACGTACAATGTCTTTCTTTAACTAAATAATTAAAGTCAAAATGTCTATCACTAAGTAATGAATTAGTACTACGTTGATTAAAAATATGTTCGCCGACTATTTGGATTCAATACTTATTACATATGTATATGATATTGGTGTATTATCATCTATTATCTGCAATTTATCAGTATCAATATTCGAGTTTTTGCAATCATTTATTAATCATCGATCATCGTCATCATCATTACTTAATACGCCAATGATTGATAATGATATATTTTTATCCATTGAACGTAAATCTTTAATGATATTAAATGGATCACCACCACCTGTTTTTGTTTGATGATATATATTTGCCAGAGAATTTTATGATGGTCATCTATCAACAACAACAACAACAACATACTCTGTACCAAAGGTACCAACACAAATCACACCTTCTTCAGTCATTATGAATGTCATTGTAACATGAATAACTATATGATGAGCAAAAGATAAGAAGAAACGAAAAAAAGCAAACCTTCAGACTTTTCATATATATTTATTAATAAATAATTGAAATGAAAACCGATATGTTTTTGTTTTCATAACATATTAGATTTAGTATTTGAATTCAAATCCTATTTAATTCTTTTTCATCGATTATAGAGTTTCGAGTAAATGAAATTTAAATAATACTATTATTCGTATACAAGTATTGTCAAGGCTGAATTTAGTATTAAATTTCTATCTAATTTTCATTTTATTTCATGTAAAAAAACAAGACTTAGTCATACCTAATTGTGAAATTTTATAACAATATTTTTATTTGAGAAATAAGAATACGACTTTTTTTACATTCAATTTATTTTTATAAAAAAAATATGAAATACAAGATTGAAGAAGATTTAGTAGGCAAAGAAAACATGATTCGATGTTATGACTAATTTTTATGACGCTTTGTACTATAATAATTAGCAGCAATGAAAGTTAACGAGAGATAAACAAAGAGTAATTTTTATGAGACATTCAAACATCATAATGAAGTTTTGAGCAGTATGTCCTGAGCACTTCACATAGATTATTGTCTACGACTATTTTTCAATTTTAGACATGATATAATACTTATTGTTAATGTGTCTGACTATTTCTTTTTTCATTATAGTAGTCGATTGTAAGTTTTTTTCTCAATATGTTTCTGTCACAATACACAAAATATCGAGGAATCATATGAGTTTCGTTGAGGCGTTATTACGAAGTTCCGTTTGTTCTCAATGGTCTCCACAAAATGACAATTTGCAAATGAAAAATCTGTTTTCTTCCAGATAATAAAAACAAAACAAGTTGCAGAAGCAACAATGAGCATTTATTACATAGCATGTTCCTGCCATCTTTCGAAATTTTTTATTGTATTTAAGGCCTTGCATGGCATCTATATTCTATTTCTCTTATTAATAAAGAATTAGAATAGCTTTGAGCTAACGAAATCAATGAAAACTTTGTCAAGAACTCTGGTGCATCAGAATACTGTAAAGTTCAGAAGTTTTTAGTAAAATATCTATTGGTTTTCAATGATTGCAAATTCGATTTGTTTTCGCATAACTGATTTATCCTGTATATTTCACTAAACTTGACATTTCGGCTGATTCAAAATTTTTTTCAATGAGTCTTGTCTGTTAGTTGTGTTTGACATCACCGACTTATCTTAGGTACCATCTAGTTTGTACGAAAACCCTTCTTGTATTTGTTGATTTCACATAATTTTCATTAAATATGGATTTTCTCAATTTGGAAATGATAATTCTAAAACAGTCGCGATTATCAATTAATTAATTGTAAATATCACGAAACATCGTGACTTTTTAGTTGACTTATAGAATGTTCTAGCAAGTTCTTTAATATTCACTAAGGCGCTTCGTCACGACACATCCAGTCGTCTTGTTAACAATGTTGTTTTTCTTTTTCTTCAATTTCCCAATATATACAGTAGATGTCAGAATTATTATACCACTCTCATTATATCAATTAATTTTAATATAAATTTGACGTAATGGGGGTGGTTGAATATTTTTGACAGCTACTGTAAGTATCTGTAAGTCTATTAAGCCGAAATAATCTCCTTTCCGACGAAGATATTGTAAGAATAGAGAGTACTCATCAGATATACTTCTATGAGACAATGACAAAACACAATACATAAATACTGTCTATTTGTTTTCTACTAGGCGCACACTATCGACATACAAAAAAAAGAATTGAACATACATATATGTTTCAATTACGACAACATGAGCAGACAATAAAAGAACCTCTGTACAGTACAAAACAAATAGAAATAATTTTCAATTAATTAACGACATTAAGACGAAACTGAATGACAACGTCACCGTAATAATAAAAGTTAGAAAAAAAAAAGAAAAAAGAAGCTGATGAAGAATAAGTATGACGGTGAATGAAGAAAAAGAAAAAGAAAATAAGATTCAATATATATTAAGTCGAAATAAAAAATAAATCCAATGTTTATTTTGTATTTAAACAAGCGCTCGTTTATCGTTGGTTGCTTGAATATCTTCACTTTCAACGACAACATATGCTGTACCATCTGGTGCATGCACAGCATGATACAGATCATCGTCTGTTGGTGCTGGATGATACGATGTATCATATATAGGTGTTTTAGACTAAAAACATAAACAATTATTTGATGCAATAAAAAAGACATAAAAAAATTTGCACTTACTTCTGAACGACCGGGATACTTGACACGTTGACGGAATAGCTAATTTTCATTTGAAACAAAAAAGAAAGTGAGATTTAAACATAGAAAAATAATGTCAAACTTACAAGAATAAATACGACAGCAATAATAATTCCAACAAGTCCAAGTAAAACACCAGCGACATACAATGTAAAAAGTGGATTCTTTTTAACATAATGATTCCATTTTGAATCGTGTGTATGATTCGTATCTTTTCCTATTGCACGTGCAACAGCTGGTAAAACTGCACGAAATTCATGTGAATTTAACTAAAAAACAAAAAAAATAAATATTTCAATAAATAAATATTTATTTAATTAAATCCTACATCAATATCGATTTGATCCATTTTCTTTTGAAAATCATCCATATCTTCAACATAAAATGGCATTATTTGAAATGATGTCATACCATTATGTTCAACTGATGATACAGTTATTTGTGTTGGTTCCAAATTATATTTCGTTGCAATATTATTAATTAAACCACTAAATAACAAAACAAAATTAAATATTCTATATAATTCCGAAAAAAAAAAGATTTTTCAATTCTACTTTACTTTTTAAACGCATTAACAAATTTTGGATCATTGAAAAATTCAGTTTCAATATCAAAATCGTAAACAAACCAGTTCACTTTATCCGCACTTACTAATTCACATAATTTCAAATTTAAATTACATACACGATTACCCGTACATGGAATTCTCTATTATAAAATAATAATAATAATAAAATATATTTTAATTTCTTCTTTGTTTTTTCTTTACCGTACTACATTGAATATTTTCTGAAACAGGTGACCAATCACATTCACATACATCACATCCATCACTATTTTTTTTAAAACCATACATACAGAACATTCGACACATATGTAATGGGCAACGATTACATGAACATATTTGACAACCAGATCGATCACGTTCAAAACCATATTTACAATCTAAATTACATTTCATTGGTGAACAGCCATCATCAATTGTTGGTTTTGTTTCATCATCTACACATGAACACATTGGACAACCATTTTCATCTTTTTTAACACCTTTTGTACAAGTTTTTGTACAATTGAATGGTGGACATTCACATTGACATGTTTGACAACCTTGAAAAAAAAATTTATAATCAACGGAAATAAATATAAGAACTATTTTTTTTTTTCAAAATATCTTACCACTATAATCTTTTCGATAACCATTTGAACATGTTTTTTCACACTTGTATCGAGGACATGGCTGTGGAGAATCATTACATTTACAAATTTCGCATCCATTTTCATTACGACTAAAACCATGAACACAATACATACGACACATTACACGTGAACATTCAACGTATGGTTTTAACACAGCATCTTTATCAGTTTTTGATGCACATTTACATGTTCGACAACCATTTTCATCAAATACATAACCTGCTTCTCCACAATCAGCTACACATTTATATAGTGGACATTCTTTTGTTGGTGATGATGGTGCATTAGAAGGGTCAGAGACTAAATAGATATAATTGAAAAAAAAACAAAATAAATATAGATAAGAAGAAATATCCTTAGATTTCAAACCTATTTCTCGTTGTGAAACTGTCGAAACCTGATTTATATTATAATAGAGCAATAAGCTCGTCAAAATAAGGCTTACGAATTTAAGCATGTAAAAAATTTGTAATAGTCTTCAAGGATTTATGACAAAGTCAGTAATTTCTCCTTGGGAAAAGGAAAAAAAGAAACGCAAAAACTGCTTGTTGTTGTTATTGACGATAAATGAAAAAGTGACGAATCAATCGGATGTGTCAACTCAACACGCAATGATAGAAGAAATGCAAAGCAAAAAAAAAATATATATAACGGACGAGTCAGCGTTAGTTCGCCTTCGTTCTTTTTTTTTTCTATTTTTTTTTTGCTTTTATTCAGCCCGACTTATATCATCGTATAAAGACACTACACATCGCTCAGTCAGCCTTTTTTTTTGTCGTTCTCGAAACAGAATTATTTTTATAGGAAGAAAAATGTCGAGTTTGCTCCTCCTCCGCCGCAATTATGTAAGGGAAAGAAATTACTCAACGAACAAGGTATATTCTCATTAGTAGTATTATTTTGTTGTGCAAAATATATTGTGCACGACTCATTTTGCATTAATAATTCGATATATTATCATATTACTTGATTTGTAGTCACTAAAACAAATAGATTATTTCTTTATTCTCTTCTAGTTGCCCGATTATTGGTTCCTTTTTTTCGGCGTGATCCATCCTCGAAGATTTTTTTTTTTTCTTAGATAACATTTTTTTTCTCATGTAGACGTGATGATGTAAAAGGACAGAAGAGAAAAAGTACTGATGCGTTAAACAAACATATAGGGAGACTAAAAACCTAGTCATGCACACAATTAACATAGAATATTTAAAGAAATTGGACAATGTATGATACCTGCTTGACACATAGGCACATTACGTGCATCATTAAGACATCGGAAACCTGGCGGACAATGAACATCACTCTAATTGAAAAGATTAATTGTAAAAAAAAAAAAAGAAATTTCATTTGTTTTAAATATTAATACTTGACAAGACGATGTATATTCTGTTGGTTTTGATTTTGTGGTCGCACATTGACATAATGGACAACCATCAGGAGATTTTTCAAAACCAACATCAGCTGGACAAAGAATACCACAAGAAAATGGTGGACATTGATCACTACATTCACACATATCACAACCAAATAAATCTTTTAAATATCCAGATGGACAATTTTTATTGCATTGGTCCATTGATGGACATGATTGACATTCACATAAAAGGCATCCATTAGAATCAGTTCGATATCCAAGATGACAATTAAGTGTACATGTAAATGACGGTGGACAAACAGAAATGCTTGCTGAAAAGAAAAAGAGAAACCTATGAATCATTATTCATTAATCGTTCTTTTATTCACAATAACTATAGAATGAAATATACAAGGAATATGTGGATTTTTCTCAATGGAGGACATGCTAAATATAGAAGTATTGTTCATACAAGTAAATAATGTTTTGATTTGATTCAAGGTTATTGATTTTTTTCGTTTCAAAATCTATTAACAAACAAAAGCAATTCAAGGACATTTACATAAATGAAATAATAACTTCAAATTTTATCAATATGAGACGAACTATATGAATAGTATGTGTTGTTTTTAATCATCTCTTTTTTTCAAAGTAATCAATACTTTCTTCAGTAATGGGAAAAAAAATTATTAATAAAATCGATATATGTTGTTGGTTACATTTCCCTTTCGTTCGATTGCCTAATCAAATATTGATTAATAGAATGTAAATTTTGATTTTCTGTTAGATAAAAAAAAAAAAGAGTGATATTATGTTCTGATTTGATCGACTAACCACTCAAGGTCATTGACCTAATAGAAATTTCTCATGCACTTAACATTTATCACAATAGGAGCAGAAAAAACAAGAATCTTGTTTTAAAGATAAAATGAAAGAAGATCTGACAGAAATGTTTTCATAATTTCTAAACTTTAATACTATTGTTAGCTATGTGGAAGATATTTCTGTGATTATGTTAATTTCCATAATCTTTTTTCTTTGTGTTACAATTGTACTTTGTTATTACATAAATGAATTATAGGTTTGAAATACTATTAATAAAAGAAATGATAGATCAAAATATGTCCTTGATATAAATCTATCAATTAAATTCATATTCTTACTTGTAATAGGTGAATTACAAATACGTTTTCCACATGCTGCTTCACAGCATTTATGATCACCCGGACAATCAGTATCAAAACGACAATCCGATTGAATAATTTTCGATGGATCACAATCACCAATGGCTTCAACAACTTTCGGACAAACACCCAATTTACGAATGGGTTCTAGTCCTTGAACAACAGAATCTAATGGTTCGGCATAATCATCAAGATATTCATCTTCTTCACCAAATTCATTTTTATCTGATGTTTCATCTTCATCATATTCATAATAATCATCATAGGATAATTCGTCAGATGTTTTATTTTTATTATTTGAGATTGATGTTGCACCTGTAGTAGAAGGTGACAATGGACCACCACGATTATCAGCTAATAATCTTGTACCACCTGATTTTGCTAACAAACGAGGTGCTAATGGTTGTTGTTGTTGTTGTTGTTGTTGTGCGATTGATGAAGCAAGTAAAGTTTTAGAAACCATATTTTGATTTTGATCATTTTTTAAAACACAATAAACACATTTTGATTCATCATCTTGATTACTATCATCACATTTTGGATTTATACGACAGATTTCTGTCGATGGATTACATTTGAGAGCCTATTAATCATGAAAGAACTCTAAAATAAATCTTTTTTTAATTCATCATTTTTATATTTTACCTGACATTGCTCATTAAAATTAATATTTGACTTTCCAACATCTGCATCAACCAAAACAAGTAAAATAAATAAACCAAATGAAGTTTTAATCATGAATTTCATTGTATTCATTTTCGTTTAACTGAAATTATAATCATAAATCCGTATAATACATAGTAGTATTCTCTTTCATCGTTTGACCCTCACTCTATGCATCAGTGTTCAATTTAATATTCGATCGATAAAAAAAAGTATAGATGTTCGTCTCTTTTTTTTTGTATTCTTCTCCTTCTCCCCTACAATTTTCAAGTGGCTTGTTAATATAATACAATCTATCGCTGAATTTCTACATGCATACATACACGCTCTAAGTGTATACATATATATATCGACTAGGTATGTTATGCCTGTCTGCATTCGATATATACATACAAAATCATTGATAGAGATGAATCGAAAGCGTCTAAAGCCAGAAGAAGAGCAGTAGAAGAAGAAAAAAAAGCTGAATAACGAGAAAGACTCTCGCATTTTACATGGTCCAGTAAATACTTTTCCTTGTCAATGATAATGATGATTATTACATATAAAGCAAGCCATTGCGTTGCATACAACACATTTATAATATAAATATATGATGAGTGCATAGCCGTGAGAGAGAGAGAGAGAAAAACTAACTGCTTTCGTGTATAAAATGTATAGATCATCATTAGATTCAATACAGGGTTTTTGCGTGTTGGATGACATTGAGAAGAAGAAGAAAAAAAAAGAGAAAGTAAAGAAATAGACATAAAGATGATCGAGAAATTATACATCCATGATTAGCAGACATGTCTACTACTACTCATACGTCTTATACACACGCACATGTATAATATGTATACATATATTTAGAGAATCTAATTGATGACATCAACATCGACACACCCAATATACATGATTGATACACTTGGGTATCGATATTACGCTTCATGATTGTTTCTTTTTTATGCAAGAAAGAAAAACATACACATACAAGACAAGTACCACTTCAATTCTATAGACCGTTAGCCTTTTATATATGTGACATATGTGTATAAATTCAACTAGTGTATGTTATGTATAGTAATGAACACAAGAATGATTATAATAACAACATACATATATATATATTTATATATATATATATATGTACAAGTCTATCTGGTAATGATGATTATGTAGATCAGAGCATATTCTTAATAGAAAGTAAAATGTTTTTAACGAGAATTATATTGTTACATTTATTTATGATTGATTTTTGTTTATTAATAAAAAGAAAATAACTTATTCGACGATAAAAAGCAAATATAGTAATATTCTATTCTATCTTAAAAGACATAACTATTTATATCATATTGCTCTAATACTAAGTGTATGTAACAATATTATACACTATCGTAGAGAACATGCCAAGGTTATCTGAGCATATAAGATTTTGGTCGTTTACTAACGCCAAACGAGATAATTTTTTTGACCTTTCTGGAGGATGAGATTGAGAGAGAGAAAAAAAAGTAGATAGATGATTGTATGTGAACTTCAATAGATTGTCTTAATCTCTTTCTTTCAATCAAATTGTCTTTGAAAATATGTATGTGATAAATAAAAAACGAATACACCTGATAATAGTTAGTTAGTTAGCAAGATTACATCATCGTCTCACAAGTAGGTCAATTGTTACTCTTTCAATCTTTAAATATTTTTCAATGAAGTTGACCGACAGGAAAATCGGCCAGGAAATAAGCCTTTATTTAAATTTTCTTTTTCATTTGATACTATTGACGTCTATTATTTTATGATGGCACTCAACTTGTATGTGTTCCCTATGGCTAACTGATATATATGCAAATAGTTTTTATGATCGGATGTGCTTTATATATATATGTGTATGTGACAAACTGTCTATATATTGTCACCATCATTTCAATTGCTCAATATCTTACATAACATCATCATACACTTTCATTCAATATCTCCATCAATTTAAAAATGTGTTTCAAATATATAGTTATATATATATAGATATATGTCTGTGTGCCTATGGATATTATAGACATTTAACGCGAAAGAGATAAACCTTACCTCCTTTTCGCTCTTCGTTTTTTCTTCTCTTTTTTTTGTAAAATAAGGTATTGTAAAAAAAATGCGCACAATGTTTATCACATGAAAATTGAATCGATTTGAGGACGAGAAGTGATGCCGACAAATTTACGTAGTTTGTATGTATGTGAGTGCAATGCTCGAGAATAGTAACGGAATACTCGGCCGGTTTCTTCGCTCTATGGGCTTGCCATCCAATAGTGTGAAAAAAATAAAGGCAAAAGGAGAGAGAGAAAAAAAAGAGAACAAGAAATAATGTAGAGAACAGCAAAAAAAAGGAGTAACGTATGCGAGAAGCACACGCACACTATATAAAAAATATATTAGATTCGATAATCAGCTGTAGGTTCTTGTATTATTTTGACATCCTCGTCATAGCTAATATACACAAGATGCTTTAGCACACAATAGGGTAAAATTGGTTTTCTACGGAATTTACCGAGATATGATGTATGTAAAAATAAAAACAACAGACAGTAATATTGAAGACCTTTCATAATAACAACAACAAGAAAAATAACACCAATGGAATTTATTTTCATCAATTGATAAAAAACATGCATTGTTATATTTAATCTATAGACGAACAGTTGTTCTTAGGTTATGCCTCATAGATCATCATCATCTGTCTATAACTATTATTTTGTTGTTGTTGTCACCGTTCAATCACTGGCAGACGTATTAAAGATAACCGAAAGTATAAACATTTTCATTAGACAATCTGTTGTGCGTGAAAAATAGAAATATTAACTATAATGAATAGCAATGCTTGCATAAGCAAAGGTCATTAGTAAAAGAAACAAAACAAAAATAGGTCTTAGTTACTTATTACACTACACACTCTTGTCATTATATTGAATAGCAGTCATTTATTAGTGTGTTTATTCATCTGTCTGGCACTTTAAAAGATGATCAACAACAACAGCAATAGCTCTGATTTTCTTTTTTTTTTCTATTTTCTAGATTAACGAATAGAAATATCTCATGAATAGTTTATATGCTAATCAGAAAGAAAAATCTTGTCTTCATATTCTAGCACATTAGTTTTTGTCATCAGTTCTATATTCTTTCTTTTTCTTTTTTTTCCTATCGAGTCGTTAACACATGTGTATGCAAGACCTTCGATCAGAGTGTTGAAATAATAATACTCTTATATGTCAGTTGTTCGAAATAAAACATGTCTATTTTAAAAAAAAACAAAATTATCAATCATTCCTAAAGAACGCATATAAAAGAAAAGCACTTTATCGAAAGAAATAATTATGTTTTATCTAATATTGATTTTATAGAATAAAAATAAATAAATGAAGCTTTCCTATCGTTAGTACTTAGTTACCGTTTTATTGCCAACATATTTTATCATTTTTTTCTCTTTCGTGCTCATTATAAAAGCATTTATTTATCGACGAGCACGACTCTCAATAGTAACTTAGCGAATACAACTCATTTATACAGCTTTTTCCTTCATATACGCATTGAAGACCAGTTTTTCTAAAGAACTATATAACTATTTAGACATTCATGAAAAGAAAGAAAGAAAGAAGAAAAAAAGTAATGCCTCCAACAATAAGCCTTACTTAACATAGGTCGTTCCATGATTATAAATATAGAACGTATAGAAAAAAAAAGAAAAAATATGAAACATTGATATTAACTCAAAATCTAAAAGACAAACAAATGCATTTGTCGCATTCTCAACGGCATAGAAAACTAAACTGATATTTAAAAGAAAAAAGAAAATTATAAATGAAAGAAAATTTTAATATTTCTAGTTTTTTTTTGGCACTAGCTGTCTTGTTGTCAATAACTTCAAGTCATTAGAATTTTACGAAGTCGTCTCTTAGAACTAATGAAAAAACATACCCTACATCTATTTTCTCTCGGCTCATGTTTATTCATTATTAAACAAGAAATACAAACCATTTTCTGTTTTTATTCAAATGAAAGAAAAAATGCACACATTGTCTTATGTTGAGTAAACCGTTTTTTTCTTTCTTTTTTCTTTCTTTCTTTTTTTCTTTTTCTTTATTAAACTCCTATATATATATTTCTTGGATGAATAAGCCTTTTCTAGAACTAATTTGATAAATAATAATCATTCGGCTTCGACTTATTTCATATTGCGATAGATGTTCATTCGCCTGTAAGCTCAGTTATCTATTAGCATCTGTCGTTGTTAGTTTATATTCATTGCAGAGAAAAAATAATTCTCATTCAAAAATAAACAAATCTTGTTACATATTAACATTACTCAAGAATAACAAAAGCAAAAATTGTTTGTATTTTTATTCTCACATAAGATTTTCAGCAACTATTAACATATTGTAATTTCAGCTGATATTCTCAAGTTTTTTCCTATGATAAACTTTTTTCTAGGATTATAAATCACTCTAACACAATTATAAACATATGTGTTTGTAATAACTTAATTAAAGTTTCAAATGAATCCATATTTTTTTTTTTGTTACATGAAAAATATTTGTTTTTCTCGATTAAGCATTAACTTTGCCCTATTAAAATTTAAAATCAAACGACGTCATTCGAAACAAACTGTCATATTTATTTTAGAAATTTCATTTTTTTTAATCAAATAAATTTATTCCTTTAAAAAAAGACATATTTTGTAAATAAACAATTATCATTTTTACTGTAATTAAATGATCATAACTGAATGTACTCATCAAAAGAAAATATGATATTCATATGCCAATGAGACATCAAGCAAGAGCCATAATCACAAGAAGAAAAAAAAAAGATTTTTCTATATCATTGATACAGAGGGGCACATATTTGACATCAACGATGCACTCGGTTGTATAGTTTCATTTATTAACAATTGATCTTTTCCTCGGCTGTTTTTTATAAATCTTATATGAGAAGATAATTTGAGAAGTATAAATAAGTATATATAATAAAGAAGATCTCTGTTTGAGCTTGAAAAGATAATGTAATAGTAATCATAATTGAAATCAGATGTAAACAAGTATCATCTAGCTTGACTATGATAAAATGTCATT